TGGAGTTGCAGTAACAGGCTGCCTGCCGTGGCGCCAACTTAGAAACAAAGAAAAACTGAAAAACACACAAGGGAAGATGAGGAAAAAAACAAAAACATCATATTATATCAACACTGTGAGACACTATGGTTTTTATGAAAAAAAACCTCTGCATAGAGCAAGTTTATTAGCCAGAGGAGTAGGTGAGTTTAGGGGGGCTCGAAGAATCCAGTCCCCAAAACCAGCGCAGCCATAGTCCAGAAATATTGATGGAACTGTTCATTCTGTGCAGCTTTCAGCCTGCTCTGGAAATCAGATTAGACGGGTAAGAGGAGGGGGGAAGGTATGACACAGAGCCGAGTCGACACATCCAGCCAGGAAGAATTTAGTCAACAACTCAAAGCCGTTGTCGGGGAGATCCAGATTCTGTAATCAGTTGTATTGGGAACAGAAGAGACCAAGCAGATGACAACAATTTTCCATCTGCTTTAGAGTTTCTGTTGGTACATCTCAAGGTGGCGATTCCAATCAGGCGAATGGTGTGGACACATACCGCCGAGCCCAATCCATCAGCTTCCTCCAAGATGAATTCCGTCTGGCCAGCAAAGTCCAGGGACCACAGCTGGCCTGCGACCCTCAATAGAACTGCTAGCAGACTGAGTCCAGCTCGCTCAAGGCAAAATGTCCGAGTGCTGATAGAATACGGCCATCCATCAAATTGGTCAGTCAGCCAGGAGATGAAAAGCCACCAACGCTGGTTTGCAGAACACCAGGAGACCACCCAGCCATTCTGTAGAATCCAGTTTTATGGTTATTTATTACAAAAATATAGCAAGAATCAATTTTATTGGCTACGTTCACACTGCAGGCAAATCTGACCCAAATCAGATTTTTTTGACCCATATCTGATTTTTTTATGACAGTCTGAACGAGACAAATCTGATTTTTTCAAATCCGACCAAGGCCGTTTCAGTATGTGGTTTTAAATCGAATACATATCTGATGTTTTCAAAGTGACTGCAGTGTGAACGTCCATATCACATTCCATCTGACGTTTTCATAAGGAAGGAGGTGGTGAAGGATCGATAAGACACTAACCTCAAGTCAGGCTGTTTAAATCTGTAGCTCCATGTGTTTACAGCTCCAAAACACAAGTCCAGTTGCTTCATCTTTTTACCTTTCATTAGTATGATAATAACGATGTCCAGCCTGGGTCGCCGAGAGTATCGATCCTAAAGTTAGCTACTCGGTCGATACTTTTTTCCAGCTCGTAGTTTTGTTAAAAAAAATAGCTTCACTGGAGCATCCCGGTCAGAGACAGGTTCAGATACTGTATAAACACTGAACTAAACAAGCATGTCAGATAATTATTTAATCGGATCTGATTAAACAACTTCCGATTCGATGTGTAAAATGTAGCATCCATACTAGCTCTGTAAATAAACAAGCCGGCTGATGAGACGTCAGGTCTTTTACTGCGCATGCGTGTCACATCAGTGCTGTGTAGCGTTCACACAGGGGTCTGATGCAGGTCACATTTAAAATGTAATGTGAARGTTCATACCAAAAGATCGGATTTTTTCAAAAATTTGGAACTGAGCATTAAGACCTGCAGTGTGAATGTAGCCATTGATTCATGAATAAAAACAGTAAAAATAACAACATGAAAGACAAAGCAAAGCAAAAGATTTCTAATAGTGGTGTGCCGATACAACTTTTTCACTTTCGATATGATACCGATATTGACCCGATACAATATCAGGACGAATCACACACTTTTACCTATTTTGCAGTGTGAAATCGTAGAAAAGCTTTGATCAAGTCAAACAGTGAAAAAGAGTAGATATGAGAAATATTGACCAATTTCTTTTTAACCAATGGATCACACACATTTTAAACTGAAGAACATTCTACAATTTCATAAAATAAAAGACATAAATTAGAATACCCTGAAAAATAAAACATAATAAAAACAAAATGTACTTTTAAAGTGTAAAATAACAATTCAAAATCACTCCAGTTATTTTTTTTTTTACTATCTGTCAGCCTGGTGCTGTTTTATGGTGGGAACAACTGAAGGTGGGAACAAAACAAAACCCCGCATTATTGTCCAATGTCCAACTGTTCAAAGTTAAGAGGCCACAGCTCCAATTTTACAGACTGTGCCCAAAACAACGTGATCATTGCACTTAATCTTCATTAAAACAAATGTGTAAACAGACTAAACATCACTCTAATAACAAGAGCAAAAAATAAATAGTAAGAATTAGTCAGTTATTTAAATCGATAGCTACCTTTCTTACTGCAGTATTTCCACTTTCTACAGTCTGAGCATCATGTGGAGATTAGCCTCTCTCTCCTGCAGGGAGCAGTTTTTAGCACAGCTCTTGCGATTTCACGCTCGTATTCCAAAACAAAAGCTGCGCTCTCCTTTCTTCTGTCCATCAATCCCAGAGCTAATCCACTGGCAGCATTCTGCTGATGTCAAAACCGTAAGCGTGCTTAATTGACAAGTGACCTAGGTTAAAACCTGTAAGTTTTGGTCAGTTTGTAAAAAAGATGTTAAGATCTTGGTCAGATTAATAATCAATAATTTTTTTAATTCTTACTGCAAATCAGAAGAATGATATCAAGTTTCCTTGGAAGTTTACCCAGCATTGTTCTGCGAACACTTTACGTGTAATGTCTTGAATGGCTCACCAAAGCTGGAGACATCCAGCTATCTCAGGGAAGAGGCTTAGCATGCTGAATCCTTCTCTCTGCAGTCCAGTCCAGGTCAGATCCTCCCTGAGGTCATTATGGAGAGGTTTGTACAGAAGTGGACTCTCTGGGTTGGCCTTCCATCACAGACAGACTTTTTTTCAGACCCAACCGGGTCGGCAAGAACTTCTCTTTTGCAGTAATTAAAAATACATTTTGTTGCTGTGTGTTCTAGTCATAACAAAATTAT